ACCTGCTCTGTTGTCATGGTGGCAACGTGATTGACAGCTGCCCAAGAATCAATCTTTGGTGTAAAATGATTGATGATGGCTCGTACATTGACCAATGACCCTGATAGCTTGCTAGCTGCATCCTTCCACTCTCCACCATTGGTTGAATGTCTCAAAGCTGTAAAATATGATTTGTTATAATTATTGTTGAGTAAAGAAGACCAGGAAATGTAAAAGAAGCATTTGTAAACTAGAGTTGCACTTACCCATTGAATATAGGTTATCAAAAATCTGATGAACCCTGATAACTTCATAATATAACTCATCGTACGAAGTAGGACAGGGAAGGAAAGTGTCTCCGTAGGTGATAAACAGATTGAAAATATTTACAACCTAAAACATAATATGATTGACAATATTTGAAAAAATTTTTCAAGAGAAAAATTTAATATTGGCTATTTCAAAATACTAAGATCCAGTAACAAATGATAAAGAGCTAACCTGTGAAGCCAGTGAGAAAATATTGCATATTTTGACAAGATGGGTCTCATTTGACAGAATAAACTTCAACAGATTCATTAACGATGACCACAGGTCTTTCCATGTGTATGATAACCGAACTCTACAACGCTTTTGATAGCACAGCATTCTATGAATCACACCCAGTGCCTTGCTACAATAGACCAACATAGAGGTAATTAACATTAGTATTCTATGGATAGGCATTCTGCCTGGTTTTCTACCTCAGGCAAACCAATGCAAGAGGTGTCGTACATCAACACGTTAAAATGCAGATTGAGGAGTAAGTATTAGTACWAGTGTATCAATGACAGAAACTAGCAATAACAGTTCATGACTTCAAGGCATTACCTGTACAATTCTGCTGGYAGTTTTTTCATCATATGGGTGATAATAAACTCTACCATAAGATCTGGAAATAATGAAGAGTATAATGATATTAGCTACTGTTAGTAATACATTTTAGCAAAAAATAGAATGATATAATTATCATAGTTTTCACTATTCTTGGTAGTCCCTGGCCGGTACGTACGAAAATCGTTACGTTGGAGTGATTTACATTTGTAAAGTTTATGGCGATATAATTATTATAATAAAGCTGATGTTTTACTAACCCAGAAGAGCACATGCCAAAGGCTTAGAAGGTGCATTCTCAATAACGGGCTTCCTGTGGTACATGTGCTGAAACRAAGACATCTCTGTCGTCAAAATATGATTTGTTTTGTGCATCAATTAGTTTAACTGTATAAAGTATTCTTTCTAGACTTACAACTCTATGCAGTGGAACTGAAAACATCATGTTTGAATCATGAAGAAAGGCATTAGCATACTGGTCCTGTCAATCATAAAATAAATTTGTTAATACCATACAGTAAGTCACATAATTATCACATAATAATTGAAAAATATGGTATAACAGAGTGTATCTTATATTATAAATAATTTTTATGAAACTGTTGTCTAGAAAGCATTCATACCTCAACTATG